TCTCATTACTTCATGTCGCATGATATAAATGAACTTAGCTTACACATTTAAAAAAATTAGGCCTCCTTCATTGCCATTATAGAAATATGTTTTGGGCATTTTTTCAAGTGCATATTTTTTTATTTTTTGAGAATGTGGACCTCTTTTTCCAACGAGTTTACAAATCTTCTATTTAATATTATACTCGTATTGCCATCAATATCAGGATAATATTCCAAAATAACATTCCAAAAGCTACTTTCTCTCTCCGGCGACGGCTAATAAATCAAACAAATCCACTAATCCACCGTATATGTGATCATCAACGCAAAATTGGGTTTCATCCCCCACACGAAACATATTTTCGATGGGCAATCGCGATCGCATTGTGAGCAACAATGCCTCTGTGGATATCGCGCAGGCCGTAGATTCGATATTCATTGTTTTCCGGGGTACTTATCTTCCTACGAATACCGTTAGGATGACACAATGACAAGGGTGCTTTATCTAAAAAATTGCCGTGCCAATGGCGACGTTTGAAAATTCAACATGATAAGATCACTACTCTCTTGTTCAATTTACTTTATCTACAGGGAGAGTTAACCAAAATACAGTATCTTCTTTGATTGTCACAATTTACTGTCTACATTACGTTTCAACCAAATCGGTTGCTGGATCGAAACTCGTACAAAAATTACCCTTACGAATGATTCATAAAGTAGGTCCTACGTAAATCAAACTCCTCGTATGCCGGTTTTCTTGAGTATACTCTAGTTACCGCATAGCGATCAGATGGAACTATCCAGAGGTCAGTTATTTGTAACAGAAGGCAGAGTAGGTACTCACTGATGTACCCTTCAAATATACTAATTTATATCAGAGTACTAGTTACTATTCATTCAAGAGGGATTTTGTTTTTACATCCACTTTCGTCACCTCAGAAAATAATTTGAGAAATGAATGAAATACTTTTTTATCATAAACACATTCATCGATAACAAGGTAACGTGTGTTCTGTGACAGAAAGTAAATAATAATGAAAATTGATAGGGAATGGATTAAATTTTGAGAATTGGATTAAAAGTTGAGCCTGAATGTTCAACTTTGTTTCCGAATCTAGGGGACTAGACAGTAACTATGTCCTGTCCGATAGTTCTCAAACTGTACAATAAATGGCGGTAAGCTTCAATGCGAAGCGAGAAGTTTCTAGTCTACATTCTCGAAAGTACTAGGCCCACCCGCTACCTCATATAAAAACGCGCGCGCCATCCAGCCAGTAATGTCATTCCACGATATTTCGAAAACAAGTGAATTTAGTAAGCGACTAGGTAGGTAAAGTGCTGTACGTGCTGTGGTGAATAATGTGAGTGGCGTCATTAGCAAGTTTTCAATACTCGATTCTTCACTTCAGCATTTTTAATGACAAAATTATGTCGGGAGCAGAAAAGAGAAAACGGCAGTATAGCGCGGAATATATGAAATATGGATTTATTGAAAATCCCACAAATTCATCTTTGCCCATGTGCCTTCTTTGTCAAAAAACATTTTCGAATGAAACGATCAAACCCTCAAGGCTACAAGATCATTTAAATAAAATGCATTCAGATGAAAAAGAAACACTCAGGTCAGCCAACTGTGTCAAAATTTTTTTCATCGGCTTCCAAGCAAGACGACGACGGATCCGAGCTCCCTACAATATCTTCTTGCTAATTGCTCAAAGAGGTAAACCTCACACCATTGGAAAGGATTTAATTTCACCGGCAATAAAAGAATTAATAACTACTGTGCTTCATGAACCAGCGGCAGATATTATCCGAAAAATTCTTTTGAACAATAGTTCCTTGCAAAGACGAATAAGTGAGATGACTGAAAACATTGAAGAGTCATTGTGCAGTCATCTGAAGACTTCTAAATTCTCAATTCAGTTAGATGAGCACATTTTACCAACCAATTAAGCATTATTGTTGTCATACGTGAGGTTTGTTAAAAATGAGAAAATATATCAAGAACTACCATTTGCCAGAAATTCAGGGAGTGATACAAAAAAAGAAACCATATATAATACACTGGAAAAATTTTGTGATGAGAAAGAAATTCCACTGAAGAATNAACACTCCAAGAAAGGGCCCTTTCAGAAGCAGGGATTTGTGCTAGGAATTCGGTGAGTTCGCTTTATGCCACAATTCTTACAGTCCACTCTTGTTTTCATTTTTATTATTTTTTAAGTATTAGAAGACGCGACAGTATTCATGCATTAATTTCATTATCTCAAATTCCAATTTGAGTTGACCCGTTCAAAAAATAACTACATGGCCTCAATCTATAAAATGTTATTCGATAGTTATTAGCCTATTGAGTTCATACAAATCAAATATTACAAATGTATTATGTTCTCGTTCTTGATACTTCCTATTGTCTGACAAGTGAGCACTGATGATGACGAAAGTCGAAAGCGCTTTGCAATAAGTTCATAATCATACACTTTCATACAAAATATCTTCGATTCATTCATTCAATAAGTGTATTCAGCTTCCCAAATATATTCTGTAATCGCAATGACTACCAAAATGTATAAAAAATATACAGGTCTGTATTTGAAAAATATATTGATGATGTATTTCAATGAAAGAAACGACGCATTGGAGAATGAGTTGAATCAGAATTTGAAAAACATGAAATGAAGCAAAAAAAATGTTTCTGTCATTTTTTGATATTATTGAAAATGGAAGCGGTAGAGCAAAACAATAAAATCTTTCATTTTCATATTTTTGCAAATATCTCAGAAACAGTTGGTGATTTTATTGATCTGAGAATACCAATATGTTGCGTCAATTTTTGTTTAATTGAACCAAAATTCCATTTTACTGTCAATAAAATCTTTCCATAGTACTTTAGTCAGCAGTGAATTTCATATCAGTGTTCTCAGAGAGGTGGTTTGCAAATATGAAATTGGTGTTTCTATTTACAAAACTACTTCTATGATCTTTAATTCTTTGGGAAGATGTTCTCCCTGTTTGGCCAATATACAGTTTTTGACAAGAGCCACAAGTCAGCTTACATACTCCTGGTCTACATCATCATCATTGAAATGGTTTTCCTAAAAATCCTTGTTTTCGTAGACATATTATTCTTATTAATATAGAATTATAATATGCTCTAGGTGATCATAATTGAGAATGTACGTTAGGTATGTCAAAAGTTGAGTGGATGGTTTATTATATTCGAGTAATTACCTCAGAAGGTAGTTCTCAATGTGATTACATGGGGTATATGAAAATTAGAGTGAAGAATTGAATTTTAGTATGTTATTCAACACGAAGAAGCTACTGTGTTAGCGAAACATGTAGTGATAGTTTCGAAAATGAAGTTTATGAAAATCAAATCGTGAGGTGTAAATGAAATTACCATTATCATAAAACTTATAATCCACATAAACTGCATGTTAACGATCGTTAACATAAATAGTATTAGTGTATAGAAAAGCATTGTGACTGATAATGTTTCACGAACTATACCTAACAATTCGATCTTCATTAACGAAAAAGCTACTGTGATAGCAAAACATGTGGATTTTCATCAAGTAAAGGCCGAGTCAATTAGAAAAAAAAATGATTATGTTGTTGGATCATCTATTTTCGTACGGAAATTAAATAAACAAGAGTTCCTTCAATTCCTCACAGAAGACTTGGAATGGAGTGGGATGTAATGTTTTCTAATACATTGATTTTATGTGAAGGGTCTATTCCTTGGTTGCCGAACCTGATATCAATAGATTTTCGTTATTGAAGAACAGTGAAATCGGAGATTTACTATACTTCCGCTAATATATAGGGGGATGTGAAAATATGAAATCGTGAGGTATTTCACAAGATGAATGAAAAACGTGTGCATCTCGAGACGCTCGACAGAAGTGTGACAACTCAACCTAATCTGAGTTGAACTATTTACTATTGAAATTGTTTAACTTGAAACAAGATTAGGTTATTATTTGAATTTTATGTAAGGAAATGTTATTCATCAACAAAATCTTCTTCGATTATTTTGTATATGTACATATTTTATAGCTACCATAAGCAATTGTTAGTTTTGTAGGATAAAATATTGATACTAATAATGTACGTACACAAAATTAGTATCATCATTTTCAAGCCAAGTTTCACACAAAAAAAATATTACGTGGTTGCTGGTTAGATTTGCATAATAGTGTCAACAGTATATGTCTAGAATGAACGTATCTGTCCGAGGCTTCGACGAAAGAGGAGGAGCCTGCCTTTCGCTGACGTATGTCTGAGAGAAAGGAAAGCCAGAAAAACTGGCGCCTTTACGTGTTAGCTAACGAAGCGATTTTCCCTCCCATAAGAAGTTATAACTTCAAAAACTTACCAACCAAGCCGCTCAAGAACAAACTTTCCTAAGAGATTCAGGAAATGTATAGTACAAGGTGAAAGTCATCTTAAAAATGTACTTTTTTTGTCAGTGCTGTCGTTTTTTCTGTTTTAAATTTAAAATGTACCCATTTTCCACATTTTTTGAAAGTATCTTGCAAAACCCAAATGATGAAATAACGTCTTTGGCAAGTTTACTGTCACGGAAAAGCACCCTATAATATGTAACAAATTTTGAAATGTGTCCTTCCTGGTGCCATTCACCTTTCTTTCGACACCCGTTTCATATCTAGTTCCATTTAGCATTTATCCTGAGTTTGGCAAAGATTGGTTTACGGTCGAATAACGTATTCCAAAAACACTCTACTAACACTCTACTAGAGTAAAGACACGCCCGAAGAAGCCAAGTGAAAATCTCACAAAAAAGTGTTTTTTGAATACGTTAGGTCTTAGGTACTTATGGATTTTCATCAAGTATCAGCCACTTATCCGTATGTGGAAACTCAGTTATGATTTGGATAGTTTCAGATTATATTTATTCCATAGAATTTCATTGATCAATTTACTCCACAATGGGGCTGTTTCCAAATGTTAGAATTCAATTTCGAAAACTGATCAATACCGTGAGCAACTGTAGTACTTCTGAAATACGTCACTCTTCTGCTGGGACATTGGAATGTCCTTATCGAGTGAGATCTCTCTTAAATGATACCCATACCTCCGAGCCAAAAGGATATCTAGGCCAATCAGTGCTATGAATGGAACCTTTGAGTAATGGGCCTTTGAGTAATGGGATTCCTCTCATCACAGAAAACCTTGTCACGGTAATGCGCAGCTCTGCCGTTTGTCATTGATGCACCATGAAGTTACCAAAGACTATGACCTGAAGTCAACAAAAAAGATGAATTCCGACTAAAAGGCACCCACTATCCTTCCTGTAACATCGGGTAAAAAGTAAGACTTTCTCAGTCCTCCAAGTATTGATTCTATTATCAAACCTAGTAGACCTAGTACAGCCACAGATTTATTAGTACAGCCACAAAGCGATTAGTTGCTTCCTCAAGAGCAGGATATCTTACTAACCCACCTTGTAATACATTTTTCAGTCTCATAGTAATGGTTTCTCAGAATGCCTCAGTTTATTACTGATTTTCGATAACATAACGACTCCAAAATACTAAAAATTTACTACTTTCAGTAATGCATTCATTTTAAAGACCACAATTATCACTTACCTAACACCAGGAAGAAAACTTCGCTTTGCAATATTTAACAAATAAATTTTATCCCAAAGGCTGTCAGCTTGGTGTGCCGGCATCGAAATTCACAGAATAAAGTTTGAAATAAAAAACGAAAGGTCAAATAAAAAGGAAAACAACAAAAACCTTATTAGTCGCCAATGCTGAATTGCGACTAATTATTTCGCAGACGGTCAACTAGTACCATCTGGCGTTAAATAGCACAGGATTCTTTCGTATGCTACGACATGCACCCCGATCGTACTAGAGTGTTGATTAGGGAATAACACTCTGTACGATTCAATTCATGAAAAGTTCCGCGTTCTTGNATCTGTATCTGTAGAGTAGGGAGGGTGAGTGTAAGCCCACGCACTTAGGCCACATGTGACCCATTGTACATCCTCCCGAGGAGTTGTCCTCCTAGGTCGTCGTCCATCCTGTCCTTTCCAGGAAGGTGGACAGGTCGCTGGGAGACATCTCCTTTATATCGCCAGGTGTAGGCCAAGACTCGCCGAACACACACTCTCTTATTGACGATAACTCCGGGCACTCGCACAGGACATGCCTGACAGTCTCATCTTCCTGTTCACCAGGATGGACTACATAAAGAGTAATATTTCGAATAATCTATTTTTTCAAGTTAACAGTTATCACGCGTTGGATAACAGGAAAAACTTTCATTCTGAGGAATTTGATTCATCAGCAGAACCGTGAAATATACTTTTATCAGTAGAGTGGTCATATGTAGTGATAGTAAGAAATATGGCTCATGAAAACTGGGAAACAAAACTTTCTATATATTTCTACCACTTTTATTTGTGACTGTTGAGAAATAGTTCATTTATATAGTGCCATCTATTGAGAAAGAGTGTAATATCAGACATGGTAACTCTAATCTGTCATTCTTGTATTTCTGTTTCTAAGTAAGAAAAAGATGAGTGACGTAGTTATTGTAACATAATAAGATTTATTGAGATTAGANAAAAAGATGAGTGACGTAGTTATTGTAACATAATAAGATTGATTGAGATTAGAGAAAAGTTTTGTCTGTTTTCGAAGTTTTATTTCCACGAGAAACATACATTTTTAAGAGTGACTAACGTTACTGAATTCCGTCCTATAAGAACATTTTCAAACGAATACAATATTGTATACGGATACAAGCGCGAGTGTACCCATACAAAATATGTCTGCACAAACAGAAAACTATAATATAGGTACAGACACATCGTGATAGTGAACAACTTCTTTATGTAAACTTCGCCAAAAATGACAGTCGAAAGCCGTAAGAGGATGGGATTGTTATAAGGATACCACTTCAAAGTAACCTTGTAGGAGTGAAACAGTACTCGAAAATGAATGGAATGGATATATTTTGGAAACAATTTCAAGCAATTCGTAATGTATGAATGTCCCAAATTTGTACACATGTTGTCATATGACATCAGAATCGTTCTCAAATGTTAACATTGGGATGCGCTGAGCACCTCTGAGAATGGATGCCGATGTACGTTGGATATCTTCATGAAGAATTGAGGGTGACGTAAATCGAGTGTTTTCGTCAAAATATACAACATAGGGAGGAGTCCAAGTGATGATATCATGGTATTTCTATGCATCTTGAGTTGAAAGTAAGTTTCGACAGTTGTCAAGTTATTACTGAAGCCGTATTTTAATATTTTTCAAGTTGTGACGATGTGGACGACCAAGAACTATCATTATTTTCAAATATCGGAAAACCTGCTATAGTAACTGCTTCCATAACAAACCAAACTTTCTCATTTATTTTAATCTTCTCCATTACATTAATTGATGAAATAATACTAAATAACCTGGGAATAATAAAGACAGAGACCAAATGATTCAATAGGAAGATGGAAATGAAGAATAACATTCGCTCCATTGTGGATCTGTTTCAATATATAGGGTGTAACATAAATACTTTAAAATATTCAAGTGACGTATTCCTGAGACAATTAAAAAAAATCTATATGAACTTGTGTCCGAAAAAGCTTCGTTTCGGAGATACGGGATGTTGAAATTGAATTTTTTTGTTCGCTTTTTGGAAATAACTCTTGCAAAAAATAAGTTATCTCCACGAAATTTGGTACCTGGAGTTTTTTTGACGTGGGAAATCATAATTTCGTAATAATTTTCATGTAACATCTAGAGGGCACTGCGTACGCTGTCATTATTTATTTCAAACTGGGATGTAATGNCTTTGAGAAAGGCATACTGAAACACGAGCTGAAGTTTTGTAAACTGTTCAGAGGAAATTGAAAAATTCTAAAAATTCTTCACGAATTCTCAAATAGTTTTTTCAGGTGCGTGGGGGCGGTTGAACCAATCGTTATATACAATATTTTCCAAGCAGAATACAAGTATCTGATATAAGATGTAACATATTACAATGAAAAACAGCACAAACCATGTTATTGATTTCGACGTTATCGGATTTGGAAAGTTTCATTTTTTCAGAACATTCGGTTGACAGGAACCAATCAATTTGAACATAATTCCCAAATATAAACTGGCTGCGGATTTATTGCTAAAACTGCATCATTTCCTTGTAGTTTTAACAAGTTACGGATCTTTCTGGAATCGATAACCATAAAAATGCTGTGTCTCTGACAACTTCCGTAATGATGATGAAGTATAAGTGCATAATAGAAAATAATTGATGAAAGAAATCTTCATTCCCACGAATTTCATTCAAATAATCAGCCATTCTGCATTTCTTCATTCCGAATTGCAAAAAATTCTATCAATCCAAAATATGTGGACAATAACTGCAAACAAACGGATTCAAAATTATATTTTATATTAGATAAGTCCTGTTTCCTTCAATCTATCAAAATTTTCTATGAACAATAACGAATGCTATAATAAGACAAAAACTGATATATATTTAGGAATCACAAAACAACTCCCACGTGGCTTTATACAAGACGAGTTTTGCTGGACCTCTACCACTATACATGAGTGTGAAGAAGGTGTATATGAGCGAAAACAATTTCAATAGGACATGACTCATTCTTATGTTAATCTCTATGAGAAAATGGTCATACCATCACTGAATGACGTAGTGAAATATAGTATGGGTGAATATTTAAATCCATTATCATGAAGTTAGTGACTTTGATTTGATTTTTAAAATTTTTCTTTTGTGAAATTACGAACCGAAGAAGATTTTCTGATATCCATATATTCTACCTACTTCTGTATATTTTTTGTTTCTGACGATATATCTTTCAAGAGTCTATATTATTATATGATAATGGTGTAATTAATATTTTCCTCATGATTTTCCTCTGCTTATTTGATTATTCATCCAAAACTCCACAAGGAATATTTTCTGTTATATTTTTTATGTATTTTTCATGTTCTTTATTCTCCTGTACGTCAATAACGTCATACTAAAAACCAACATATGCCACAATTCACTCTCCCGATATAAATATTACTCTCAACATTCATACCATTCTTATCAAATCTACTGTTTTTATCGATGCTCAATCTGTTCATACTATGCAATTTTTTTTTTGGAATATTTAAAGATCTCACATGATACAATTTGTAACTTGTAAGTTTTTACGTTCATTTGTACGTTGAAGCGCAAAAATTGATGGAATGAATAAACAACAATAAACTATAAAATATTCATTGTTGAGGACAAATGATTGTAGAGTAAGGACACTTTCACACGGGGGCTTCACGTATCTCACTCCCATACTGGAGCGTTCATCACTCCTACCTACCGCCAATTCACACCGAGAGCCTTTTTTGTTCCTGGCTCCTTAAGCTCATTCGTAGAAAGGATCGCACGCTTGCTGTAGACATATTCCTTCTCTACCGTCGACATAAACTTCTACGACAGAAACGCCAAAGATCAAGAATGTTTTATCCAATCAACCAAAAACGGGATGAAGCGAGACTTTAATGAAATATTACGATACATTTTGATATAACTAGGGAAGACACTTATCCTCATTTTGAGGAAGGGGCGTGGCTCTCCGGCTCGAGCAGCAGGAGATGTGAGAGCTCTCATCTCCTGAGACGTGGCGGCTCCCGTTCTTCGTCTGAAAGCTCCATTGGACTCGTTGCATTTTGGCTCTAAGAGCCTTTCTTAAAGTTATTTTATTTAACGTAAATACAATATGAATTTCTACAAAATAAATAGGACATCAATCGAACAAATCTGGAAATTAATTTCTCATTCACATATGAACAAAACATACTTAGTGATACTTCTTTTATTCGACATTTCATCCCACCCGAAAATATTTGTGAATGTTGTCATATGTTTTCTTCGTTTGAGCAAAACAATCAATTAGACGCAAGTTTTTTGAATACTTTACATTATAGGATGAGTTACTGAATCCAGTTGTTTTCCTTATCTACTTCATAAACTTTCATTCCGAGAAGATGTCCACAACATTAACATTAGGTACAAAGGAACTGTTACTCCACGCTCCCATCGAACTGACATATTCAGACGGTCTTTTTCGTATCAAATTTTCCCTATCTATAATTCCATTCCAACTAATATAAAGAGTCTAAATATCGAATTATTTTGAAAAAAATCAAGAATCTCTAATTGTTTGCTCAACTCATATGTAATTCAACATAACATATCAAGTGGATCAATAAAACAAACGCTAATGACTTATGTTGATGTTGTATGTTTTTTTCTTTTTTCTTCTGAGTAACTTTTATTATTTTATTCTTAGTAACTTGTAAGTTACGTTAACGAGTCTCACCGTGAAAGTGAGAAATGTCACTATATTTTATTGGACCTATTGTGATATTTCTGAAACCACTAGATTGGTCATTGACGAACGTTCATAAACGAATATCCTACATTATTTTGAGAAATACAAATTCCCTACATTTCCCCAATATCTTCGTAGATTTTCAGTATTATTCGAATTCTCCATAAAATATTTTGTTACATAATTGGATTTCAATAGATATTCTTCCTACAAGACGGAACAATAACGCCCTGGATTTGTGGAGAATAGAATTAGATCGCACTTGTTCCTAACAAGCAAACATCCATGATGTGTCGCGGTGTAACTAACAAGATCAAATTATCTCGACTACGTTTGACACAAGCACTGAATCTACATTCATTAGTTCCAAAATGTTCAGTTAAGCTGGTGAGAAACACTGTTTCTCTCAGAGTATCCAGATGTACTTCA